CCTTAACAGGAAAAGGGATTTTCAATTTTGAATGCTTTGTATTGTTCTGCTGATATGAGCATCCTATACTATGTGTACATGTGTTGGAAGTGTGGGAGGCTGGGGAGGTCATTGTTCAGCAATGAAGCATCCTTGTAAAATGCAAATGAATCTGCAGAATATATAAGAAGACAGGCTTAAATTTACACTGACAAGGGAAATGTCATGAGAATAGTGGCTGCGCAACACATCTAGGAAATTGAATTTTTCTGTGAATTAATCAGCTGCCCAGGCACTGTAATCAATATTAATAGGATAAATAATTTTGATTCCAACTGACTGGTCAGGAAATAGGAATCAGGAAAATATTGGATATCTAAGTGTGGAGTGTATTCGAGAATTTAAAGAGTGCAGGAAGAATTTCATGTCAACTTAAATTAGATGAGATAAGTAACAAAAGCATCAAGATTCAAAACATGTTCAGTCCATAACACAAAAGAATGGGAATAACTTGAACTACTTAACTGTGAAGAGAAGTGACAGAGGCTTTTACAGGCTCCAGTCTCATGTACATATTTCTTGGAGGTGTTGTTGGACTGACTACAAGCCAGCAAGAAAACAGAAAAGGTGTTTTCTCTCTCCTCTGTTTTAAGTGCCCGGAGGCTTCCATTCTGCCGTTCTGTCTGTTGAGCATATGGTGTTTATTTCACCAACTGTAGTGCAACAAATTGGTTTGGTCTCATTTCAAAAAACATTTAATTCCAACAGATCTGCCATATATGAAGGGCAAAGCAATCCAAAACTCATCTTGTTTAAAAACCTTCCCATTTAGTCATCAGCAAAACAACATAATGGCATTGTGAGTGAATCTGAGAACATTTTGACATGTCTTAAACACAGGGGTTGTTGGCAAAATAATTAAAGCTGAATACAATCTCGCTGCTCCAGAAAAGATATTCTAACCAATGCACAAACTTTTAACCCGTTCTGGTTAGGAGAGTCTGAGGATTCTGGGAATATCTTCAGAACAGCATTATTAAACAACCATCTGGGTTTTTGAAACATAACCAGGTTATCTTTCAGAAAAACTTACCACTGTGACTCAGATGCAAATACATGTTAGGTACAAACTGGGGTTAAATCAAGCTAGCCATTATAGGCTAACTAGCTGTCTGGGGCTAATTTTCTGCTAATAACATTCTAAGAAACTTAATGTATTGTTTGGCAAACTGTGTGCTATGTTATTTATGTATTTTTTTTTTTTACATTAGTGTGCACTCTATGTGTATGTTTAAAACATTAATAACTATGTTGTACATCCAACACAAGGGATAATTTGACACTTACTGTAGGCTAACGTTATTAGCTAATTCACATTCTTGTTTGTGCTATCTCATCATTTTCTGATTGTCTATGTCAGTGATGTTGACCTTTTATTTCACAGTTTCACAATTTCTTTCATTTAAGAATTAAATGGCCTACTGCTGTCTCGATATTCATACAACAATATATACTGAACTAAAGTAAAGCCAAGGTAATACACATGGCAGAGACTGTGGCATCATAAAACAGAGTCTGACCCCTGCTTACTTTTCATAAGGTATTATAATATGATGATGGAAGTAGTATTAAACTGCTTTATTTCAAAGGCAGGAGTAAGGAGATGGACTAAGATCCCTGCAGGTCATCTGAAGGGATTGCAGCAACAAATTAAGTAAAGGTTTGTGTTGTGTTTGTGTGTCTGATGCGGTGCGTGTGATTTGTGGGTGTATTAATAGCAGTGTTTACTTGTGCCCTCTGTGAAACTATTCCTTCAGCCTCTGTAAAAAAGTGATTACATTCACAAACAAAGCATCAATTACAGCTAAGACATAAATTTAAAGCCTGAGTGAGCAGCGTTAAATTGGGGTTCCTCGCGTGATATGAATTTAGTTACTAACATAGTATTCATCATCATCATCATAATCAGACTCAACAGTCCCAAACAAAAACACTTCTGAGATCAAATATGATCAAGGATGAAATATAATCAGTTTTATCTGAACCAAAAGCTGCCTGGAATATATAAATAACTAAGTATTTTAATATCAGTTACAGCTAACATAGCAGAGGGACAGATGATGATAAATCCTCTAAAGGGATGTTGCTTGTCTGTTTTTTTTCAGTCTTCTCGCACAATCCTTTAGCGCCATCTAGTGATTCACCCACTTCGGCTTGTTTAAATACAAAGCACAAACCAAATGATATGTGTGTGTGTGATGTAGGCTACAATAACATACAGCTATTTTATTCACACAGCTCCTCTGTCTATTTCTTACTTCACTTTTACTTTATTTCACAAGGATAACCCATTCACTACTTTCATCTATTTGGCTTGGATTTATTTATGTGGACTGTGCTGCTCTAACAGTGCAATATGTTTCCCTCTGGACAGGTGGAGGTAGAGCACTACTGATGACCAGGGGCTTCCACAACTAGTTGGTGTTCCTGTGCTGTTTACATTTGCGTATGTGGCACATCAGATATATTAGGTAACTGCCCACTTTTCATTTTCAACAGTTGTTTTTGGAGTCATAAGGTCACGTGGTCACTGTGGGTAAGCTGTGGGTTTGTGCTGCATTCTTCAAGTAAAACCAGCGAACTCACTACCTTGAGTTTTATACTGGAAATGATAAGAATAGAATGAATTCTGTTAGCTTATTCATTTTAATCAGAAACATTTAATGAATGTATAGTTATTACTGTATTTTGATATATTGAGGTTTTAATATAAACTGTATATTTTTGTATTATATTGTTATTGTTTTTTTTTGTAATTTGTATTGTTCCAACTAAGATCATGTGGCAGTTAACACCAGAATAAGTAAAACAACTGAGGACCAGCCAACTCATTACCTTGAATTGTATTCATTCTTTCAAAGTAAATCTTTTCTGAAATATGTCACCCCTTGAGTCAGCTTGCACTCTTTAGGTGTAACACAAAAATGCACAAAGGTGCTACAATTATTACTACAATTAATTATTATGTGTGTTTTGGAATTTTTTGTTGACATCTTTTCATTAAACCCATACTGTATTTATAAGGCAGGGGAAAAATATTTAATAGAGCTTAAAAGACCTTTAAAGGCAAAGGACTTGGTCATGTGTTTTGAATTAGACTTAAAGACAAGAATCAGAATCAGAATCAGCTTTATTGCCAGGTATGTGTACACATATGAGGAATCTGACTGATGATTGTACATTGCTCACGATGTGCTTATTTATACAATAATAAAATCAAACATGGGCTACAGTATAGAGAACTCATATATACACACTACCAACTAACCAAAAACAGACAACAGTGCAATGAGCAGAGTGCAAAGGATGCAGGAGCAAATTATTATTACCATTATTGTTATTATTATGTTGGAGGTGGATGTGCTATACAGCTGCACATACACATGCAAGCATACATGTACAGTGTTGGGCTCCCACTTTAGGTCCTGGGATATAGTGGATCCCAGAAACCTGAAGGATTACACAGCAGACACAGGGCTGTTGAGAATGGTGATGGGCACCAGAGTGGGGGGTGGGGCTCTGTAATGTCCTTCAGGCGGGCCAACACCAGTCTTTCAAAGGACTTCATGACTACGGATGTCAGGTCGACAGGCCTGTAGTCATTTAGTCCAGAGATGGAGGGTTTTTTGGGGTCCAGGATGATTGTAGAGCGTTTGAAGCAGGAGGTAATGTCACACAGCTCCAGTAATCTTTTGAATATCTGTGTGAAGATGAGGGCCAGCTGGTCTGCACAGATTTTCAGGCAGGATGGAGACACACCGTCGGGGCCAGGAGCCTTCCTGATCTTCTACCTCTGGAAGAGGTGGCTCACATCCTCGTCTCAAATCGTGAGTGCAGCTGAGGGATCGGAGAGGGGGGGTGAGAGCATGGCAGTCGGGGAACACCATCTTCACCACTGTTTGAAGATGGTGTTGGAGCGCTGGAGAGGTGTGACTGTGGGCAGAAACCATTCAGCTCGTCAGCCAGTCGTTGAGTACCAGCAGAGTTGGGGGATGGTCTCCTGTAGTTAGTAAGTGTCTGCAGGCCTTTCCACAGTGACGCAGGATCCCTGGCTGTGAAGCTGTTTCCTAGCTTTTCAGCGTAGCATCTCTTTGCACCTCAGTCTTCATATGGTACATTGCCAAACCTATAAAACAAGCAGAGGTTGGAAGTAGCTATATTTACTCAAATATTATGAATACTTCAATATTTCATCAATACATTTCAGAAGGAAATATTAAACTTTTTACACCTCTGCAGTTACTTGAGACCTTCAGTAACTTCTTCCTTTACAGAAAATGCAACTACTACACATGAAATCATCAGTAATATGAATCTAATACAATAATATAATATATAATAAAGCACTCATTCACTGCCTTATGAGTGTACTTTTGTTATTAGTACATTTTTCCGATAAGTGCTGCTCATCTGTAGTTTTCCTTAAAATTTTGAATGCAAGGTGCATTTTAATTCTGCAATATTGTTTGTTGTTAGTTTTACTAACTTTCACCTGGATACAAACAGCTAATGCAGAATCCAATTATTTTTTCAATCAAAGTCTATCCATGCTGAAACCTATTGAAGGTTAAGAATCAAGGGCTAAACTTGGCAGCAATGACAGTGCTTCGGGAACATGTTGATTATGGAGGACCGATCCATAGTTGATAGCCTAACTAAAGTTGAACCCCAGGTTATAATTTTAACGGTCAAAATGCATTTCCTAGTTTTATCTCCTTGAATAAATGTCTTGTTTAGACATATAGATATATAACTTGGTGTTAAGTATTGTAAAACCCTGAATGTACAGAATAATAATTGAACAGTACTAGGTGACAGTAAAACAAAAAAAAATGATGCTTTTATGCATAATAACTGCACAAAATCAAGAATAAAAGCACAAAAACATGTTTCAAGCACAAGAGACTACAGTCATGACGTCTCGCCCTTACGTGCTGCGTCACAGGCATGCGTCAGTCTGAATAGTAAACACTCCTGCTGCAGCAGTAGCTTCCTCAGTGATGTTTTGTCGAGTTAGCTAACATGCGGTGCCACCGTTTAATATTTCACCCACCAAAGGTTTCCAGCTATCGCTGCAAATCGTATTTCTGTTACTAATCCAGGTAGATATCAGGTGATGTTATAAATTCTTTTTTGGGGCTTTACAAGACTGCATCAAGTTACTGTCATAAAGTTAATCTTAGCTAACGTTACTTTCAGCTAGCTATCTCTCAGACGTGTAAAGTCTGCTTCTTTTGCAAAGGAGTGAAACGCGACATTATTTCGGCTGCTCTGCTTTTTTATGCCAAGAACTCCCCGTGCTCTGTGCTGAAATGGTGCTTTCCTTGGTGAGCCTTTGTGCCAGGGAGGTGGTGAGTGACCACAGCTCGTCACCCTGCTGGCTGAGGTGGTTGCCCGGGGAGCTGTACCGACCGCTGCTGGAAGCCGCCTTCACCAGCTGCAGGCCGCTGGCTGTGTGTGAACTGGTGCAGAGATGGCCTGAACGCACTCTGCGTGTCGGCGGACGGAAGAAACAGGGGCAAACTGCGCCAAATCGTCTCTGCATCCAGGCTCTGTTACTTGCAGTTGTCAGAGGACTGTCGGATCTAAGGTACGAAGTAGTTTATTATTCTAGCTATAGTGTTTGGGTCAGGTAATCTTGTTTGTCAGTGTTCATTCTCTGTAACATTTAAGACCCATTCCTCTTTCTCACTAGTGTAATGTAACTAACAACATTTACTCAAGTACTTTACCTAAGAACAATTTTGTTCTTGTACTTTACTTGAGTATTTCCATTTAATGCTACTTTATACTTTTACTCCCCTACATGTTAGTCACAGATTCCAAAAATATTACAAAATATAAATTGGATTGAATTATTATGCAATAATATGGATTAAGCTGCCCAGCAGTAAGATAAGGCATGCACCCTTACCAGCTGCAACATTAAAGTGATGTACACGTTAATGCATCAATATATACAATCCAAATTCATTATTCTGAAGTGGACTGTTCTGCTTAATGTATATGCTTTAAGTATTTGATTCTAAAGCTTTAGTACTTTTACTTTTACTCAAGTAAAATTGCATGTTTTTTGTACTTGTTTTTACACTGTGGTATTGCTACTTTTACTTAAGTAAATGTTCCCGAGTACTTATTCCACTACTGGTCTTTCCTAGGTGTGCCTTGCAAGTACTGGACCTCTGTGGACTGCAAGGAGATGAAGGAGGGATGGGAGACCACATGGGAGGCTGGTCTCTGACTGTAGCTCTCTGCACAATGGTTGTTCAGGCTAGAGCCGGAGCATCGAGGGCACAGAGGAGAGAAAGAGAGCAAGAGAGGAAAAGGTTCTCCGCTCTGGAGAGAGAAAAGGGTGTGAAAAGAGAGAGGGGGGAGGAACCAAATGGGGATGAGGCACGCACAGATAAGAAGGAGCTAGGGGTAAATAAAAGAGAGAGGATGGGATCATATGGGATTCTGGGTGAAGAGGAGGTGATTAAAGGTGTCAGGAGGAGGATGGAGATGGAGAGGAAAAGAGAGACTGCAGTGGCAGGTTTAGGAGGCAGTAGAAAAGAGCCAGAAGAAAAAGATGTAAACAGTGATGTGTTGGTTCATGTGAGAGCTGATCTTTTTGTGAATGCTCGCTCTTGGGAGCGTGTTCGCGTGGCTCTGAGCACACCAGGACCCCTCAAGCTTCAGTGCAGGCACCTACGTGTGGAAGAGATTTCAGTGTCTAATATCAAGACCATGCTAGGCCTCCTGCCTCGCCAGGTTCTTCTGGGCGTTGACGTCCGCTACAGCAGCCTCGGCGTGGCCGGCTTGGCTGAGCTGCTGCCTCTGCTCTCCACCTTCCCAGCACTGAACTCTCTTCGCTTGCACTACTGTAACTTAGATTTTCGCAGAGACCAGCCAGGCCAGGAAGAGGCCCTGAGGGACTTGTCTGTGGGTCTGGCAAAGCTACAAGAACTGCGACGCCTCAGCCTCACTGCACTGCGCCTGCCCGGACAACTTCGTGTGCTGCTTAGGTATGACCTGATCCCATATCACATGAAAGCTGCCCTGTAACTTTGTACCTACACCGTGAGCCTAGTAAACAGCACAATGTCACATCTTTCTATTTTGATTTCTATATTATTGAAATAAAATTCTCCCAAAAAAGTATCTGACAAGATTTAATCAATTCTTACTACAAGCTAATGTACATTTGTCCAACATTAGATTTAGGAAATGGAAAGGCAATATACTTTTCTCTGATGGAGCTGATATTATTAGTATTTATCGTTCTGCTATTTGGAGTAAAATTTATTCTAATATACTGTAGAAGTACATTAATTGTTCTTTTGGTGTTATATATGTGTTACTTGTTAATACATTACTTTTTTGATAAATATATAAAAAACTGTTTTTTTTCGGCACGTTTGGTATGACAGAAATAACTTACCAGCCATTATAAGTAAATTAGATGGTCAAAAGAAAATTGTAACTGTATTAAACTATTTGATATTTGATTAGTGGTTAAAGTGATTTTAGAATAAAAAATGGCAATACATTGTTGGTTCCAACCTTTAAATGAAGGATTTGCAGTTAAATAATTAATTGTTTTATTTGATAGTGCATTGAATATATTTATATTTAAGATTACCGTTTGTTTATTTTTAAACAATCAGTTAATTGATTTGATTAATTTAATCCATATTAAAAATAATTTGTCACAGCCCTACTCTCTAATTTCTCAAATTGAAATTGCACCTATTTAAATCTTTAATTTAAAGCAAATATGGCCAAACTAAGTTATGAGATTAAAGACAGAACCCAAAAAATGAGACCTCTTTAATGAATATCTGAATTGAATATTATATTATTTAAATGTTCTGTCCTCTTTCTTTTGTTACAGCTCCCTGCCTCAGCCTCTAGAGATACTGGAGCTGCCATATTTGAGCCTAACCCCAAGTGACCTGGCCTATCTGTCCTGTAGCCATCATGCTTCCAAGCTGCAGCAGCTGGATCTAAGTGAGAACCATCTGGATGAAAACACCCTGCCCTCTATTCGCCGCCTCCTCTCCCAGGCTTCCGGTAGCCTGCAGCACCTGTCTTTAAGTGGCTGTGGCCTGACTGATGGCTTGCTGGGACTCCTGCTGCCCTCGGTGGGAGGCTGCTGGGCTCTCAAGAGCTTGGCTTTGGCCCTGAACCCACTCTCCATGGCTGGCCTAATGGACCTGGTGAGGATGGCCGTGAGAATGCAGTCTCTCCGTCACTTACTGTACCCAAACCCTCTGGAGGACTACCAGCCGGGCCTTCCCGACCTGCCCTCCAGTGCTCAGCTCTTAGACTGGCCACTGGATGAAGCCACAGACATCAACACAACCAGCAGCCACCTCAACAGGGTGCTGATAGACAGCGGCCGCTGTGACCTCTTTCTGACATGTGACCTGCTCAATTATGATAAAGACTTGGTGGACTAGAACAGAAGTGGCGGGAATGACTTGGTTTGCTCACCGACACATACCAGAGCAATGTACATACACCTGACAATCAAATCATCACCCTAATACTGGTGTAGTATTCAGTTATCTGTTCTTCTCTTTATCACCATCTGTCTGTCTTATTTATTTATTTTTCCATTAAATACATTACTGGAACAAAGTAGCAAGACACTCAATACAATGCAGACCTCCTACAAAGCCCAGTAATCTCATTTTTTGTGTCACCAAAGCAACAGGTTTATTATTTGTCAGGAGCAGGAATGTGATCAGGAGATGGATCAGAAGATAACATTTTTTGGGGCCATGCTTCAATAAAATGGTGCTATAGTACTTTAATGAGCTCACTTGTTGATTTAAAAATTTAAATTTGAGTCACTGCTGGTTTTGTACCAAAATGAGACTTGCTGCTTTATAATCAGGTTAACGGGATCTCGTGCCTTTTCAACTGTCACTAGGACTTTCTTTATACAAGGCAGATGCAGTAAATGAATATGTACATACTACACGTCAACAACCAAAACTACAAGTTTGACAGTGGTGTCCTTTTATAATCTGTGTTTGCTTAATATTTGCATGTTCTTTCCTTAAAGAGGAAATGAATGTTAACCGCAAAATATTTAGGTGATTTTTTAAATGCAAACCAAATCTTTTTTAAGTGTTTTATTCACAAAGTAATGTATTTTCTCTTTGTGGTGTTCTAATTTACATATTTGTCATACTGTACTTCTTGATTATCTGTTTTAAAATGTTCAGGATTGTGTGTTTTTGTATCCGTTTGTATATTGAGTCATTATCAGGAAAAAAACAAATCACCCCTTGTACCACGTGAATGCATTTACATTCTGTAAGTCACAGAATAAATCAGTCATAAAGCAAAGTGTTAAGAGTCATTGAATTGTCACAAATAATGTACGTAGTTTAACTTTGTTATATGGCTCATCAAGTGTTAACAGGAGTATTACAGACAGAGCAATCATCTGTAGTACTCCACGTAGGACTGCTGTAGAGTGAAGTAGCGGCGAGGTGAGGCCTTCACCCAGTCCTCCTCTGTGTAGATGTGAAAGGGTCGCAAAGTGATACGAGATAACGGCAAAGAGATGAAATTGGGAAAGTGTGTGAGGAACGGCCGGTTTCTCAGGGGAGGCAGAATTATACCTGTATGACAAGATAAATGTATGACAATGATAAATGTTAGGAACCATTTTTCTACAAGCACAGTTGCACATGATCTTTGCTAAGGTACAGTGAAGTCTTACCCGGTGGCCTGGACATCCTGGCCATGGTGTAAGTCTCTCCTAGACGAAGTATTGGTTGGGAACTACTACACAAATAGATGATAAGATTCAATTATTAAAATGTTGTAGAATAAAGTTTGGAGAAGAAATTACCATATGTACATGCTTTTTACATACCAGTCATTTAGGGGCAAAATCACTGTGTTTTTGCAGCCAGGTGCAACACATCTGCTTTTTCTGTACTCGTCTTTTTTGACAGAGCAGAAATAATTCAGCACATCCACCATTTTGAAGGTTGACGGCTCCCACTTTGCTGTACTCCTAAGGAACCTGTACCTGTCATGGTCCTGGTGACATGGAAAGAGAGAGCAAAAGCAGTTAATCACTTAAAGGTGCAGGCCAAAACCAGCCGCCACACCAGCAACCATGACAGTCAGCAACACTGTGACGAGCTCTCATGTGTACTCCTATTTAGAGGAGTTAGGGTCAAAGCAAAGGACATCAGAAGCAGTGGAAAGATTCACAGAGGGAGAGCCTCTCAGTTTTCATACACCTGTTCTGTCCATTTCTCACACTCAAATATACAATAACAGAGGGTGAAAATGAATAGGATGAAATTTCCATTTTTGTTTTTACACATTTGAAACATAAATTTGAGACAGAGAGATTAACATTTAAATGAAACATGTCTGTGTTACTTTGTATTTGGAGATCCATAACTCCAGCCAACAATCTGCTCTGTCATGGAGGCTCTTCCAGATGTCAGACTGGTCCTTCAGCTCCAAGCCCCAGCTCCCCACCTCTGGCAACAACCACTGCTCAGCCTCATTAACACCTAATGCACTCAGCATGCGCACAACGTTTTCTCTATTGACAGGACAACAAGATTATACAAACTTGCATTTTCATGTCGTTTCTTAGATTGCACCTGCTATATCATATTTTTTGGCCACACAGCGTAAACAAGTTGTGATCACAACATGGACATATCATCACCTTTTAAACAAGCTTGTTAGGAAACACTTTATTATCACATCCAGCAGTTGCAGAACAACATTAGCATTCATTTGTACTCGTGTTTCTGGCCACCTTCACTCTCTTTTAGCTCTGTTTTTTGTCTCTACCAAAACCTGAGGGAAATATCTGGCTCTTTAGCTGCCAAATGCTCCATTATGTTTACTAGTTAGTATAAATTTGTCTGTCTGTCCTCTGGTTATGAGCAGATAATGTACAGTGGGTTTTTAGAGCTTGTTAGCTGAAAACAACACTATGTGAGTGGTGAGATTGATGAAACTCATTACTAAGCTCTGTAAAGCCAAAGGGAGCAGCAGATTCAGGTAGGTTCATTGCTACAAGCAACCCCTTCCACATTGTCATTCCATACATTATTATACAAAAATCGATTATAGCCGCTTTAAACATATAGATTAAGATGCTTGTCTTGTCATTATTTGGTATTTTAACATTAAGGGACTCACCGGAGATCCAGTTTTTTAAAAGCCAGAAGAGCGAGAAGCTTTTTCACAAGCTCATAGTTGCCAGATTTAAGACGCACCAACAGATTCAGCGTTTCAACAAGCAACGTCCGCTCCACAGGTGACTGAAACACAGACAGGAAAATTTGACAATTAGACCCAACCTCAAAATACACTTTATAAAATGCACAGTGACAATCTTGAATCCTGAATTTACAGTACCATGCGAGGTCTCACAAATTTGGGCACCAAGTCAATGAGGCCTTGGTAAAGCGTGTCTGTATTCTGTAGGAGACCCTGGTTGTGCAGTGTATGCAGTGCAGCGAGGGTCTTAAGCTTAGAGGGAGTACTGGAAGTGTTTAGATATCCCAGCAGCTGCAGTGAGAAGTCCTCTGGAGACAGCGTACTCGGGATACACTACACACAAACATACACTCATCAATATCTCAACTTGGAACCACTTTACCATGATACAATTCCCTGGTGAGTAGTGGATATACACTCTTGAACAAAATCTTAAGACTGGGGGAAACATTGCAAGTACTTGCATTTCGCGCTGGTGGATCATAACCGGGTTGTAAGTACTGCTTCAAAATGTCAAAAGAAGAAACAGGAGCAAGAGACAAAAAATAGCGAGTAGGCAATTTATTGAAAACTGCATTTAAACTCAAACAGGCTGTTCATCAGCTGATCAAAAGTTTAAGAGCTCAAAAATAAACCTACAACAGAACTAAAAGTGTCAAAAAAGGACTCAGTAGTGAGTAGCCCCACCGTTCTTGTTGATCACTTCAAACACTCGTTTCGGCATGCTTGATGCGACTGTTCGCAGGAGGCTGCTGGGAACGTTGCTCCATGTGGTGAAGGTGGCTTAACGAAGGTCATCCACGGTCTGGAACTGACGTCCGTTTTTGTAAACTTCCCTTGCCATCCATCCCCAAATGATCTCAATGGGATTTAGATCAGGAGAACACGCAGGATGGTCCAAAAGAACAACGTTTTTCTCCTGGAAGAAGTCCTTTGTCAGGCGGGCGTTGTGAATTGCAGCGTTGTCCTGTTGAAAGACCCAGTCATTACCGCACAGACGGGGGCCCTCAGTCAAGAGGGATGCCCGCTGCAACATGTCCACATAGCCAGTCGCCGTTTGACGCCCCTGGACAACCTGAAGCTCCATTTTCCCATTGAAGGAAAAAGCACCCCAAATCATGATGGAGCCTCCTCCACGTAGAAAACATCTCCGGTGGGATCTCCTTGTCATGCCAGTAACGTTGGAAGCCATCAGGACCGTCCAGGTTAAATTTTTTCTCGTCAGAGAATAAAACTTTCTTCCACCTTTCAATGTCCCATGTTTGGTGCTCCCTTGCAAATTCCAAACGGGCAAGTTTGTGGCGTGGGTGGAGACGTGGCCTTTGAAGACGTTTTTTGTTCTTGGGCTACAGTCAGCATCAGTAAGTGCCTTAATTTGGGTCGAGGATCGACCTGTGTCTTCACGGACAACCCGTCGGATCCTGTAGCTCAGTGCAGGTGAAATTTTTTGGGTCTACCACTTGACTTTTTTGTCCCATAACTCTCAGGATCTTTTAAGAAATGTAAAATGACTGTCTTACTGCGTCCAACCTTGGCAGCGATGGCGCGTTGCGGGAGGCCTTGCATGTGCAGCTCAACAATCCTGCCACGTTGAACGAGAGAAAGCCTTTTTGCCTTTGCCATCAGGAGATCATGACAGTGTGACTGCCTGAAGATCAATGACATGAAAGCCATATTTTTGTGCAGATTTTACCTTTTTATGCCTATGGTCTAAAACTTTTGATCAGCTGATGAACAGCCTGTTTGAGTTTAAATGCAGTTTTCAATAAATTGCCTACTCTATTTTTTGTCTCTTGCTCCTGTTTCTTCTTTTGGCATTTTTGGCATCGTTATGATTCACCAGCGCGAAATGCGAGTACTTGCAATGTTTCCCCGGTCTTAAGATTTTGTTCAAGAGTGTATCTGTTTGACGTAGGCTACCTTTTTATCAGGATACAGGTCTTTAAACCAACTGGAATCTGCAAGCTGTTTGAGGAAGGTCGGCACTTCAGGAGTGGGTTCCCGCGGCGGGGATGGTGTTGGGATCTTTGGACGGCGAGGTGGCGTAGTAGGAGTTGGAGTGGGTTTCTCTATCTGACAAATTATCTCTAGAGGCTATAGGGACAAGTACAGATATACACACATATGAAAGCTGCTGTTATATGCGTTCTTATGTCTTGTGTGAAATTAAGAAATTACATGTTCTTACCTCTTCATATTTCTCCACTATTATGGGTTTCTTGGGTATGTCTTTGGCAACAGGCAATGGGTTGAATTTCAATGGTGTCTTTGGTTTGGTTTCTGTGGTTCTTTGTCTTTGGTTTGGTTTTACTGGAGCCTTTTTCTCCTGCAATTAGAGAAACTAATTATATAAAAATTATAACATTGCTTTCAGCCAAACTTTGTGTATTTCTATACATTTGACTGATATACAGTATAAAAACACATTTTTCATTCTATTCCTGTAAAGGAACATCCAGAAAAAGAAAAAAAAAAAAGAAAAAGAAAAATACTGTAAATTTCTGCAACAAAAGTCCAGAATGACTGAGAATAAGATTTTGTTTATCAACAGTTTTTACCTTCTTTTCCTCCACAGGAATGTTTGAATCAGATTCAGGGTGCTCTTTTAAGGTAGGAGGGTTACGGGGCTTGTTGAAATAAGGCTTGTAGTCACACGGCTCAGGACAAAATGAAAGTTCATCTAGGTCAGAGGTGTCCTCAAAATCCATCTGAAAGCACAGCATCAACCTCTTAATGAACTAGTGAAAATTTGCAAAACTGATTTTTGAAATATAAGGCAGAAAAACTACCACATTTGCATCATGCAGATGCAAGTTAAAGAAAAATGGTGATTTTTAAACAAAGAAGCTTGTAGATTAATATTGTCTTTTAAATTAGTTTCCCATTAAACATTTAAGCTAATTGACATAAGAGCTAGCTTTAAACTGCCACAGTGTATTAAAGGAAGGAGGGGAACAGTGAGTTGATTACTTATTTTTGTATTCTTGAAAGTGTTGAACAGAAGCAGTTACCGTAAAATGAGTGGGGGGAAGATGTAATGGTTTTGTATTTGCATTTAGTTATTTCCAGTTTATTGTGTAAGT